ATCACAAGAAAATGGTGAGAGTTTGGGGCAGGGCTCAGTGTTTGTCCAACCAATGGAAGACAGTGTGAATACTCATGAAACCTTCAGTCATTTTTATATATAAAAGAAGTCATTCCTACATTCGATGTGCCATGTGTTTGTGGTTGCATGCCACCAGTAAGGAAACACACCAAAAATATTATTTGTGTCTTCGATTATTTCATGGCAAAAAATGATTCCAGTAATGAATAAAAACTGGTTTGCAATCCCAAACCCTATTTAAATGTGTCAATCTTTTTTTCTCTTGTTCCCCCAATATTGAACACATAACATTTTTAAAGTGATTTTCCACTTAATTCGCACAGTTCATTTTCCCTTATAGGTGTTTAAGACGGGATACAAGCTAATAGTTTATCTTCAAGAATTTAAACAGAATATAACCATTTTAAATCAAGTCTTTCTACTGACTTGGTGATGACAAGTGTTGCACAATTTGATTCAGGGCTGCAGGGACAGAGATGTAAGAATGAAGAGAGAAAGAGAGAGATGTACTTTTGCAATATGTGATCCCATCACCCTCTTGTCTTGCTCTCCATTGAGCAATCAGTGCTGTTAATAGACACCTCTGCTGCACTTTGAGTTTATCTAGAGGAAGATTAGTCCATTCACCCCCACTACACATCCACTGATTGCAGAGTATTATGTGCAGTGAGATTGCATTTTATCATTTAGTTAGTCAGCCCTGGCACAAAACAGACTAATGCACTTCAATATGCAAAAGCATGTTGAGCCACATTCTAATGTGCTTTGATTACTGTTCATCTGTACAGTTGAAAATAAGGGGCACAAGGGCACAGGCATACTAGAAGTTGTATATATTGGTACCAAGAATTTGAGTACATTAATTGTTTAATGAAAACTTCACAACAAGTGATAGTAGCCACTTCGTTGAGGTTTACTAAGTCAACTAACAACAATTGGTCTTAAACACTTCATGAAGGTTAATTCAATAAACTAAATTAACTAACTGCAAGTAGACTTAAATCGGATTCACAATTACAATGGTATAGTTTTCACAAATTTCCAGCTCCCAGCATGCTTTCCTGTGATTTGTTTGCTCAGTGGAAACGGAGTCTATATTATCCATCTATTTTGTTATTGTGTCTACACAAGGTTTTTTTTTTTTTGGGTGGATATGGAAAAAGTAACTAGAAGGAACACAAATATTACATTCAAGTTAAATCATTTTGATATGTATGTATTATTCCAATGAAAGTAAGTAATGAAAGTTTACTTTTCTTGTACATCATATTCATTATTTTGGGAAAATGTCACATACATTAGAAGAAGGTCAGGGTCCAAGCCAAATTTCATCCATTTTCTTCAGGAGACTTAAGGACTACTGCACCAGTTTGGAGAACATAGTTAATAAAAAGCAAACAATACTTGTAATATTTTCCACGAATATATAGTTGTGGATTACTGAATAAATGGTTTGCACACTCTTGTACATTAGTCTACTGTTGTATATTTTGTTCTGGTTAATTAAAAAAAATACTTCAATGGGAAAGAAAATAAACCATTCATTGCCATTAAAGTGAAATTACTGAACCTACACAAGAGCCTGATAAAAATGCTCATTTTAGAAGAAAATTTCAAATGGCTTTTAGAGGCTTTTGCGTCTGAACTCTTCGTATGACGCAGTAATAAATTTACACTTTTTGAAAATATTTTATTTTAAAATGTGTACTTTCAGTCTTATTCGTATGTCTAATAGTCGAAATCGCAAACGTCTCGTCACATTCATTTATGATTTACATGAATCATGATCGCATATTTTCAATTCAAAACGGCAACATTTCATAAGATTAATTTGCATCACTAGATAGTCTATTACTGTCAGTCGCTGAACATTTCTATCGTAAAACAGTTTTCTAATACTGTACTACTGTTCTTACATCTTTCCACGAACTCTTGTTGTGACAGTGACAGTAAGACCCGCCTTCTTTGATTTGATTGGCCATCTCGATCATTTTGACATTGACGAGCGCTGTTGGACCACTGAGGCAGACCTGCCTAAAAGTTTAACTTTTAAAACTTTGTCATCCTAACAACAAACAGCTTTACTCCTTCTTATACTGTCTATCAGCTATGACTATTTTAGTCTTTCAAAGGACAAAATGGGTGGAAAAACAGCAATAAAAATTTGACGAAAACAACCTAAAATGCAGGGAGCGAGGCCCTCTAGACGCGCGAGGCCCTGGGCGGTCGCACACTTGGCACAGTCCTTGTGCCTACTGATGTCCTTGTGCCTATTGAAGTCCTACTGATGCTTTGGGTGTCACAGATGGACAGCGAGAATAAAATGGCCAAATGGAGGACAAATGCTGACTCTTCACAATCCCCAGTGGGTAGCATTCTTCAAAATTGCTACATGCAATAAAATCAAGGAGCCTCATGTTCATATACCAGGGGATACATTTGATTGCATTTAACTACAGCAGCTGGCCCATAAGTTGATCAGCCCACCGGGAAAAGTCCTGGTGTTCCTTATGGCTAGTTCATCCCTGAATGGGAATGGAACAAGCTGATGCAAGACTAAACTGCCCTAAATTGGTTCAGTAAATCAGCCATCTTGGCCAGTTAAAAAAAAAAAAATGCTTGGTGAAAAGTGCTAATCTGAAACATATCTTGTTGAGTTTGTCCAACTCGAAAGATAAACACATTTACATGAATACGTTAAAAAGCATATTATTCACTACTAGTTTACAATGGTGAGAACTAATAAAACATACATACCAGGCTGTAAGTCCATAGCACATTAAGGTTTACAGATGTTTGCACAAAACTTCAGGAACATTTTTGATGTGAAACTGGACTTTTTCAATGTGCGGTTTGGGAAATCACAGCTGACGTGCTGGATAAAGCAATATCCTGCAGAGTGGGACAACTGGCACAGTAATATAAGTGAAGAATCTGCAAGTGCTGAGGGACTCGTGTGTCTGTTTCTGCCTCCACCCACTGATGGATGTCGTGACCGGATGACACCCACTGTGACCCCATCAGTTCTCTCGCACCCCACTCCACTCTCAGCCGCCACTCTATCATGAACAGATCCCTTCATTTGTCGCCTGAGCTTTTTGAGCCCAATTGCTGCTATCAGCCGCTGTCCATGGTGCTGATACTGGCAGACTGAAATTGAGAATAACAATTGTAATCGCTAGTGCATAATCACATCCATCCAGCATGGAATGTCAGCAGACGAATATCATTAGTATCATGTCACAACAAATCATCTTCTTGCAACACCAGGGAACAGGATACAAATAAGAAAGGTCATCGACTGTAATTGGAAATACCTGCTTTTGGGGATCAGATCCCTACTTCTCTAGACAGAGAGACCACACTGAAGTCATAAGGGCAAACTCAAGAAGTGAGAACTGCAATTAAACATCCTTCTGCAGAGTCTGACTGGTGAGCGGATTATGTATTCCCCAATACTTTCTCAAGTTATCAGAACCTGACTGACATAGAACTGCAAACCATTAAACTTTGTCTCAAATGAAAAGTAAGTGTAGTGAGTTGGATTTTCATGACTACTGATTTTTACAAGTCGACTATGATTGGTCACTCAGAAAAGTAGTCGAGTAGGTGCAAAAATAGTGTCAAGCTCTCACTCGCTGGTCAGCTTATGGGCGACATTCGGTTCGTTTCAGGATTCTTGCTTTTATGTGACATTTGCAAAACAAAATGAATATTCAACTTGTCAGTGCAACCCCTAGAACAGGGGTAGTCAGCTTGGTCCTGGGGAGTTTTGCTGCAACCCTAATCAAACACACCTGCACAAGCTAAGAAAAGTCTAAGGGTTGTGGCTCTTCAGGACTGAAGTTGGCCACCCCTGCCCTAGAAAAAAGACAAACTTTACAGGTAAGAATGACAACATGTATTTATTAGCTGTTTTGACCTTTATAAAGACAAGAATATGCAGACCAGACAGTTGTTTGTCTACAATAAATATTTTGGAAAGACATATTCTCATCGTTACAACCTAGTTTTCCTTCTTGTAAAGTTAAATATTACATGCAAATATTTCATTCTTCTAAAGGTAAATATTACATGTTCCCTAACTCACATCCATTATAATCATCATATCTTGGTTCATGGGCAGACTAGGTGTTGAAATTCCCAGGTAATGAAGAAATACACTTAAGTTGTACTAATATCGATGCACTTATTATATTTTTATTATACTATACTAAGTGCATAATAAATGCTTTATTTTGGAAGTGCTCTTTAAGATATGCCTGCAAATGGCTAAACCAAACAAAGAAACAGGACATTTCAAATGTCAC